CAAAAAAGTTGGTGGAATCTATGCCAAAGCGCCTGAAAATGGTCATTGACGAAAAGGGAGGCCATACAAAATATTAAAATTTTGTTATTCTTTCGTTATTTTGTTAATTTTTATTTAATTTAAGAAATGGGTCAAATAAGCTGTGACATTGAAAATATCATTATTTTTCTTTTAAGTTGAATAAATATGAAACCTTTTGTGAATTTAGTAAAATTTAAGCGCTTTGTTATTCCTTCAATAGCCACTAAAAGAACTGCGTTTTTATTTTATTGCTCTCTTTTTTAGTTAAAAAGTTATACTCATTTATTTTTGAAAATATAAAGTGGGTCAAATAAGCTGTGAGCCACTGTACATAGAGGCCACGCTCACTTTTTCAAAATTATTTGCCCACAGGCAAAATTTTTGCTACATTTTCATATTTCAATTTAGTGCTTAGTTATGGCACTTTATTGGTTATCGGTTAATGGTGTTTTGTGGGCGTAGAAGTGATCCGATTACGCCCATCTACGAACTCGTAATCTGCCGGCATTCACTTTTCAAGGTCACAGAAGGTAAAAAATGCATTCAAATCGTGCCCAACAAATTTCAAGTACAGCTATACAACAACATATATTGGAATATTTATATTAAAGTTGTGAGCGTAGACGCTCCATAAAATTGATATTTTTCCCACAAAAAGCTAATTAAACGTAGTACAAGTCTTTATTTTTAATACGATCTGATGATTAATATGATTTGAACCGTGCCCAAAACATTTAACTTTTCCGCATATATTTAACACGTGATTTTTCTATGTTTTGATTTAAATTTTTATCTTTAAAGCGAATACTCCTACAAAATTGAAAAAAAAATTTAATACAAAACGTATCGCCCTACAAAAAAGCTCTGATTAGAGTTTTTCTAAAAAAAAATCCTTAAGAAGTTAAAGTAATGCAACAAATGTACTGTGTTCATACAGTACACCATGTGGTATGAGCAACGTAGAATTTACAGGATAGTACACCATGTCGTATGAGCAACCTATTATTTATTAGATGCTTATATGATGCTCGGCACATTTTGCTAACAACTTTAAAGGAATTTTTTTTTAGGAAAAAATCAACAAAAGTTTTCTACGTCCATATGTGGTCCTCCTCTTGTTCTAGTCTGAATGGCATAAGGAGTTATCTGATAATTTCAAATATATTGGTTTGCTGTTTAATGCAATATACCATAAATACATGGGAAAGAGATACTATGATTTAGACAAGGTTTCAATAGAGTTTATTTACATTCAGTAATGCTCTTTAAGGTAAAAATTAATTTGGGTAATAACAGATAGTCTATACATACATACACATGATCTTACCATAATAATTTTTTATAACCTAATAAATATTATAAAAGTTCCACTCCAATAAATAATGCCCCGTTATGCTCTTCTCAGCGAGAGTAATTTTCAAAAATTATAATATCGAAAGCAAATACAACAACACGAAATTATATTTCGGCATATCGCAGGTGATAAAGTGCACATTAATTTAATCATGAAAACTTTGCGGTCGCAAAAACAAAGTAAAATTTATGTAAATATGTAGTCATGACAATGGAAATCGAATTGCACACAGAAACCACACACCAGCACACACATACACACACAAACACAGCCATTTGAACTTAAATGTGGGCCAAGCGCGTTGAATGATATGGGCGTATGCTTGTGTGGGTGAACGCGCGGATAAGGGAGCACATAGAGGACGTGCGCGAATGCTGATGAGTGTGAGCAATGTGACATACAATAATATGATTTGCATTGACTACTATATACGATATGCAGCAAGCGTAGTTGTGTGGGTGTCAAACACATACACATGCATATGAATGCTTTCATGCATATTACACACACACACACACGCACACTTGCGTGGCGCATTGATGCTGGTCATGTTGGCGCATACATACATAGTACATGCGCAAACACATAGGTATGTACAAACATAACGGTATGCATGTATGTGGATGCGTGTGTGACCTACCTGTTGCTGCGCCTAGCACATGTTGCTTAACCGTACCGATAATTTTCTCCTTTTGCAAAGTGTGTGCGACGATGCTATCGCTGAATGTCGCTGCTCCTACTGCCCCGCCGCTGGGACCAACGTCCGCTTGCTTATAAATTAGTTTAGTTGGTAGTGGTGGCGGTAGTGGCGGCGGCGGCGGTGGTGGTGGCGCTGTCGTTGTTGTTATTATTAATGGTTCAGTCTGTGCGGATGTTGTTAAGCAGTTTGTCGATGTGTTAGAGTTATTTTTGTATTTCTGTAATTCAATCTCGGCATGCTCGGCACGTGCAATCGCCTTGCGCAATTCCTCTTCCAGAATTTCCACTCTTACTTTGAAAGTGTTTAGTTCATCGTTAGTATTTTTTTGTATAGCCGCTTCCATAAGAGATTTCTACAAAGTGAGGGGGGGTTGGAAAATTAGTAGAAAAAATTATAACATAAAAATAACGTTAAAAGATGAGTTATGAGCGGCATTGGAGCAAGCAAACGCAAGTCAACATAAAATACGAGTTTCGAACAAATCAAAATAACTCTAAAGCACAATTATGAGTAATAGAAAAGCAGTAAACATATGCAACAAATCAATACAAAAAATGCATTAAAAGAGAAAATAAGTTGAATTAACATAAAAAATAAAGCAGTAAAAACTATGGAAAAGTTGGTTGTGAGTGAGTAAAGCGCATGCGCGATATTTTATTTTATATGTTAAATAAATAGCGGGTTGTTATGTTAATGAAAAAAAAAACAAGAATAACATGTCATATAAATAAAAAAAAAAATAATCTTAACGGGTTACATAGGTTTACGGGTTCCAAAAAATTGCATATTTTTTATTGTCTTATTAAATTCTACAACATCTCTAAAATTTTGTCCTACATTTTCAAGCTGATCCATGTAATACTTTCAGAGATACAGCCTTCAGAACATGAGCGTTCGAGGCTAGTTGGGCTAAGTGCGCCGTCTTTGAACACGTTCTTCTCGAAACTGTGTTTTTGTAGCCGGTTTTCAAGATTTCTCGAGAATTATTCAAACGATCTTCAAGCATTTTTGCTCAGATCTCTGAGGTATTGACAATTTTCAGATGAAGGCAGTGAAGTTTTTCCTTGAGGTTGGCTGAAATATCTCAAGAAGTTTTAGTATGAAAGTTTATTTCGGGTGAAATTCAATTATTTCACACACAGTCCTGATTATATTGGAAACGTAAAATTTTAAGTTAACTCTTTATTCAATTTCGTTCCATGGTAAAAATCGCCTGACAAACCTTTCTTGTTGTAAATAAACAGTTGCTAACACACACTAATTGGTTTATAAAGCTCAAAATTCACACGAACATAAAAAAGGTTGTATTAATCTAAGAGAAGTGGGTTTATATTTATTCGCTTTGCGCGCTCACTTTATAATAGAATAGGAATAGTCCGGGTCACGTTTACTTGCTCAGCGAAACCTTATATTTTAAAAGATTCATAAGCTACGCCTTAAAGTAGTCCTCTTAAGAATTTGTGATTACCTAAATAGGAGCTTCTAAACTAAATCTCTTCTCCTTTCTTTCGAAGAACATACGAAAATTGCTAATTATGTTTTCTGGCTTAAGTATTTTTAGAGGTTTTCTCGTTGAGGAGACTGTTGCTCCGGAAGCCTAATTTATCGGTCATGTGACCAAATTCATCGATCATATGATGCTGTCCGACCAATTTTCTATGCCAAATATGCTCGAAATGTACCAAAACGATTCTCTCACAAAGTAGTCACGTATAAAAGTTAAGTTGTTTTGTAAGTTGTAAGCTTTATTTTATACAGCCAGCATGCCAATTAATCACTATTAACACAAATATTTCGCTCGCTTTTGTAAAAATTTTTGATTTGAGCAAATGTTAAAGCACTTCATCTACAATCAATGCCGGCACATGACTGATAGTCCATTGTGCCTTAAAGTATAAGTTTAGAATACAACAAAAACATGCGCTCGCTTGGCTATGACATTAAACAGCCCCAAACAGCAGCAACATCTCCCTCGAAAATAAAGCTTAAAATAGATAAAGCTGCACTAGTTAAATTTCCCGCGCACAGCACAAAATGCACATACAACAAACAACAATTTCCTGTTCATGCAGTAAGAAATAGAATACGGCTCTATTAATATAGCAGCAACTGTCAAAAGCGCACTGTCAACGTTTTGTTCTTACACTCTTGGTATATGTATTTTTGTTGTAGTGCTATTGTTTAATAATAATGTGATTTCGCTTTCCACCTCCACCAAGGCAAACTCCGTACGCCATAACACCTATGTATGTATGTAGGCCCTCTGTATGTGTGCTGTTTTGGATTTGAAAAAGTTTCGATATTTGTGCCGCACGCTTTTAAGCTTAAGAGCTTCTGAATATATTATGAAAGAAGCCAGATACCCTTTTCAAACCCTAAATATAGCGGATTTGATTTATTATTGATTTATAGATATATAAGTTTTTTGCTTAATTTTATAATAAGTAGATTAATGTATGTATATACTATATATATTCATATATATGTATGTTTGGAAAAATGCCATTAAGAAAATATTTGTGGCATATTAGATGTTTTCTACAACTTCAAATTCGAAATTTGCTATAAAAAATTATAGCACATTTATTATGCTATAAATTTTTCCTATAAAAAATGTAATCTTGGAATATTTAGTCTGTACACAAAAAACTTTTGTTTATATATATATAGAAGAAATTATAGCACATTATACTATAAAAACTTTAATTTCGGAACCTTTCGTCTGTATACAAAAAAAAACCTTTTGTTCATATATATTTCAGCCCCCACTTACCATTTCGACAATGCGTTCATTATGGTCGCGATTTTGATTTTCGACTTCCTCTTTGATTTGTTCGATTTCCTCATTCACCTTTTCTGTTGTGGGTGAAGGACTTGGCGCTGGCTGGCCATCGGTTAGATCGCGTGTGCGCGCATTCAGTTCATCGTTGCGTTGCTTTAATTTGATGAGCGCTGCTTCCATTCTAGTTTTTATTAAAAATTTATTATTAATAACATTTTTATATAAAAAAAATTTAGTTTATTCATACTTTTTGCTTGTTTCAACGCTCTCTTTCATGTTGTCCGTCAGCAGTTTGGCAACTTTGGTCAGATTCGTGTTCTCCGTGCGCATGGTTTCGTTCTCCTCCTCCAAATGGTGTTGCTGCAAAGCAAATTATTTTGATAATAAATATTATTTGGTTTATTATTATTATTTTTTGCTTAAATTTTACTTGACACTCACATTTTCCAGCAACTCAGCTATTTTCTCATTGGCTTCATAGAGCTGCAGCTCCACTGCATTCATTGAGTTCTTCAATGTTTGAAATTCGTCGACCAAACGCTCGACTAGTTCGCTTGTAATGGGCAAGGCGGCCGTGGGTTCCACATCTACGATGCTCTCCATTTCATTGCTGCCCAAAGTCGGTATTATTTTCAGCAATTTGCTGCTCAAGCTGGCTGAAGCTAAGGGTGTGGCATGCAAAACCGTCGTACGCGGTGTGGTTGGTGGTGTTGCAGCTAACAGTTTTTGCTTCTCCTGCAATACTTGCAACTCCTGCTCCAAGCTGTTGGCATTCGAAAATAAATTTTTTTTAATTTTCTTTTATAAAAGTATTTTGATTTTACCCGCTAATCTTTTCGATTTTCATCTTATGCAACTTATCCAAAGCGTTGCGTTCAGTGCTCATTTTATTCAACTTAGTGGTTAAGTCTTTTAATTGTGTTTCATTGTCGAGTTGTTGTTTCTTCAAAGCAGACAAGTCATCGAGAATTTTAGTTTTCTCCGACTCCAGCTCATTTTGCGCCTTCTTGCCTGCGGGGAAAATTTTGAAAAGGATTAAATTCAATAAAATAAAGTGGTCGGAATTTTTGGCAGCATTTTATTATTTAGTTTTCTTCTTTTGATTATGTATTATTCATTATATTTATATACATTAGGGTAAATCATCAAAAAAAAAAAAAAAAAAAAACTAATATAGATTTGGTTTAAATTAACCTAAATATTGAAAAGAAGAAAAAGCGTTAACTTTGGCACTTTAGAACCGAAACTGTAATATCCTTTACAATCGCTAGTTATAACAACAACAACAGTCAAATTTACTGTTTCAAATATTCCATACAAGAACTGGATATTTATGGATCAGTTTGTATGGCGGCCCAATAGCATATTGAAACTAGAACATATCAATTTTTTCGAATTCAATTGTTGGGTTGACTTCATTAGACAAGATCCATTCCACATTTCGTGGAGATTACTCATCCAAAGATTTGATTTTGATAGTCAGTTTGATTGACAGCTATATGCTATAGTGATCCGATATCGGTGGTTCCAACAAATGACTAGCTTCTTGAAGCGGAAAGCACGTGAACACAATTTCAGATCGATATCTCAAAAACTGAGGGACTAGTTCGCGTATATACAAACAGCAAGACATGGCTGAATCGACTCAGCTCGTCATACATACATATGTACATATGCATATGTATTATAGGGTCTCCTCTTTTACACTATTAAACTTCTTAAGGTAGATATTTTTTTTTAATTCCAAAATCCACATATACAAAAACATTAAAAAGAAAAAAAATTTTATTTTTTAAATATAAATTTTTAAAATTAAATAAAATTTTTTTTTTTTAAGTTTTATTTTACATTTATTTAAATTTTATTTTTATTTAGAATATAATTCTTCATTCAAACTTACCATCTTCAATTTCGATCTTCAGCGCTTTATTCTCCTCCTTCAGCGCAATATTGTCTTCCAGCAAAGTGAAAAGATCAGTTTCGGGATCCTGCTCATTGTAATCGGGATCACGTACACGACTGCGACTGCGTGTTTTGCCCTCCTGTGTGCGAAAACGCGCTACCGGTATGCGTCCACGTCGCTCCATCTTCGAAACAATTGACGAATGAGTTAATTATGTTGATATGCCTTGCGGTATGCTGCTTACTGTTATGTAAAAAGAAAATAGACAAAATTAGTATTTTTAGCTAAAACTTTTATTATCACGCCCAACACCAACAACAAATTTAAGTGGACAAAAAATGCTACGAAAATATGTGTTAATTCCTAAGTATAAAGCAGCCAGATTAGCGCGCCATTCATGCGGTCATTCCTCCACGCAATTTTCAGACATTTTTATTTCCTCAATGCCAACAACCTATTTATTGAAGTACACTATACATAGTTGAAAATAAAACACAGCGTATTTTCGTTTTGTTTAATCCATTATACTATGGGCGCACAAGTACTCGTACATATTCGTGGAGGAAATATGCAGTAGTTTATGCACGCTTCATTGTTTTTTATTTTTAATTTAATTGTCTTATTTAGAGTCATAATGCTTCTGCGCTTGCGACATGCCGTCTCTAACAATCTTCGTTACTAATATGTATTGAAATATGTCAAGCTTTCTGGCTTTCCGGCTTTCGGCTATTTGCTGTTGGCATTTGCTTCTTACGCCTTTTCTTTTTGCTTTCAATTGTTTGGTTTTATGATTTTTATCTTTATTTCTTTTTCAATGTGGTGTTATTATTTTAGTACGAGGATATCGGTTTGATAAATTGGATTATATGTATATGTGTGTGTGTGTGTATGACGCGTTTAATTATTTTGCTTTAATTCTTTCTTTTCAATTCTTGTATTAGTACTATTTTTAGTAGGTATGTAAATGTGTTTTGTTTATTTGTTTGTTGTTATTTTGTTGATTCGCATAGTACCTATAGCTATTTGGTAGCTGTTTTATATTTCATTTGAATTTAATATTTCATATTCTTTTAGCCTTTTTTTATATAATATTGGCTGCTGATTACTAACGTCTGCTCCGCTTGACATTCCATTGAATAATCGGCATTTATATTTGAATACGTTTACATGTAAATATTTCATAAGCCTAGGTTTATGATTTTCTTCTTCTCTTTCTCATTCTATAATATATTCTTAGCTTTTTGTTATTAATTTGTTTTACACATTTCTTAGTTTTTCTTTTTATAAAAAAAAGTTCATGCTGCATTTTTAAGGCTAACAAAATTACATCTGAATAAATAAT